TATACTGACTTCAGCAGTGACGTGCTATATTTGAAAAACAATTCCCACATTTTTTGTATATATTTTTTTTTATTAATTTGAGAGATTATATGGAATACAATTAATCTGTAACCATAAAAAATGGTGGGGAAAAGAACATTAAATAGAGTATTCTGAATCTGAATATTCAAATATATTTTGATTCCGTTATATTTTATTCAGTTTAAGTTATATATATATATATATATATATATATATATATATATATATATATATGTGTGTGTGTGTGTGTGTGTGTTTGTTAAATAAATATGTATTAAATATTAATATTGACTTCAGAATTAACTATTTACATAAGGGAGTGACATCAGTGACATGCAACATTTTTCTGAATTTTTTTTTTTTTTTTGTATTTGTGGCAATAAAAATAGACCTAAGTGAACAATAGACTTTAAAATGACTTAAAATACATATATAATAGCAATGAGGCAATCATAATTTGTTCAAATAAAATATCAAAAGCAAGTAATCATTTTAGTTTTATTGAACATAATGTAAAAAACAATATAATCATAACTACATTGTTTTTACACTTTACAGTGCGAACTAATCCTTGTTTAATTTTGACTAATCAACATTTAATTAAAATGTCCACTTAATCTTTAATATCTCGCCGCTACTTTATGATAGAAATGCTACAGCCACTGTCATTTCTTGACCAAAAACATGTGGACATCAAAACATGCAAACTCAGAACGATGGTTTAAACTTTTATTTTGAAGTCGCGATGAACAGTTAGCATATTTAGAAAAATTATGTATTCTCCTGTGTTGGCATAGGTTTTATAAATGATTTACCTTATAAATCTGATAGAATGGTGCACATTGTTCCCAGATGCACGTTATAAGCAACTCAGACTCACAGCAATATGTAAAGATGGCGTTTGAGACGGTCCGCACAGATAAATGATATCAGTTTGTGTGGAGCAGCATTTACTGTGAACGGAGCTGTGACCGCCATGCAAATAAATAAAGCGCATATTAAACCAGCAGCGCATATATTTATTTAAGTGAATCACAGCCTTTGTGAATCCACAGTAGAATTATGCTTTATTATGATTTTTAAATGGTTTTAATATTTTGTGCAGCCTTAGAAAATGGTCTAATAATGTTTTTTTGTTTTGTTTTTTTGTGAACAAGCAAATGACTTTCCAAAGGCTGCTGGAGTGTGAAAGCAAATGACTAAATTATGTTTTGGTGCAAGAAACCTTGACTATCATAAGTGAAGTATTTCTTACATATTCACAAAGCCCTATAACAATAACAATAACCGCCTCTCTCTGTAGTTTGCCATTGCGTTTCTGGGTGAACATACTGAAGAACCCTCACTTCATTTTTGACGTGCACGTGAGCGAGGTCGTGGACGCCTCTCTGTCCGTCATCGCTCAGACCTTCATGGACGCCTGCACAAAAACAGAGCACAAACTCAGTCGGGTAAGTGTTTGAGAATCAGCTATTAATGAACACCAGAAACTCATCATTTATCGGCTTGCTCTCTCTCTCTGTTGCCTGCAGGATTCTCCCAGCAACAAATTACTCTATGCAAAGGAGATCTCCACCTACAAAAGGATGGTAGACGAGTAAGTGCTCCAGTATTGCGCAGTCTCAGCCTCCAGCCGAACGCCCACAGATGGTTTACAGACTGTCTGATGCATGTTGTGCACAAAAATGCTGAGAACTTTCTCAGCGTGATCTCATTGACTGGGTTTATGCAATATCTGGGAGTCAGAGCGACAGGTTTTTATCAGTCCTCCGGGAAAACAAGTTGTGTTTATGTTCCCAGGCGGATATATTAAGCATTTCTGAGGTAGAACTAGTCTGCTAAAGTTTAAAGGCATCAAATCAAAACGTATCTTTAAGTTATTTATGACTATATTTAGTTTGAGACACTTTAGCAAGTAAATAAGATATACTTAGATACACAACAGTATTTACTACTTTTTTATTTTTAATTTAAATGCAATTTGCCCTGCCCAAGCCTCAGACAACCCTGTTCAGAGTAGGTGTTTTTAGCTAGAATAATCTGCAGTTTGGATCAAATGTCTGTTGTGTTTCTCCACAGGTACTATAAAGGAATCCGGCAGATGGTGTCAGTCAGTGACCAGGAAATGAACACACATCTGGCTGAAGTGTCACGGGTGAGTGTGTGATGGGCTTTCTGTGATTTTAGGGAAAATGAACTGTCTGGTGTTGATTTAGGTTTGTTTTTCAGGAACACACAGATAAACTGAACACACAAGTGGCTCTTCATCAGCTCTACCGGTACGCCAGCAAATACTACGATGGGGTGAGTGCGCGCGCACACACACACACACACACACACACACGGGTAACTGACATTAAGAAGTGACAGCAGTGACATATACAAGTATTTTAAACTTAAGATTTAAGCTTTTTATTTTTTTTGTATAATTAATATGCATGTTGTTTTACATTAATTTAGACACTATATGGAATAAATGTAATTTGTCACACAGCAGGACATTTTAAATAAGCTAAAAGATGATTGAAAATGAAGGGCTGGAACATCAAATAAAGAGATAGACAGATAGACAGACAGACAGACAGACAGACAGATAGACAGACAGACAGACAGACAGACAGATAGATAGATAGATAGATAGATAGATAGACAGATAGACAGATAAAGACAGACAGACAGATAGATAGATAGATACAGACAGACATATATACAGTATAGAGACAGACAGATAGATAGATAGATAGTGTGTATAATGTGTGTGTACTGAAAGCTCATGGTCCGTCTGTTTCTGTAGATCATCATGTCTCTGGATGAAGATCCTGCTGCCCAGAGTAAACAGTTAACGCTGAGACTGCAGCAGATCGCCGCAGCGCTGGAGAACAAAGTGACCGACCTCTAACCCTGTCAGAGCGAACGATGAACGAATGCTCTGTCTGTATTTAGCTCATCACTATAATCAGATGTTCATTTTCTTCCTGTGTAGAGACAAAGGTTTTAAGAATCGTATTCTATATTTTTTTTAATGTGCAGTCTTTATGCAGAAAGCTTTATAAGAGGAAAATAACTTTTTAAATAGATGGCCTTGTGTCAGTTGTTTTTAAAGCTTCTGTTTGTGTGTGTGATTGTGTGTATGTGTGTGTAAAAGGATGCCTATATTTTGACCAAAAGGGAGCTGCCCATGTCCCTGCAGTGTGTGTGTGAGCAGGGGGTGTACCTACGGTGAGGTCACATCTGGTCTCGTCCAATCAAAAGCAGCTGAAGGTGACAGCAGGAATTGCGTGGGATGTGTTCGTAACAGCATACTACCCATACTATTTCTGCAGTATGTACTGTATGTGTAGGGTGTGCAAATGTTCTTTATCTGTAACATTTGCCAAAACATGCAGTCACATTTACCGCTGTTGTTCGGTGAGTTTTCACTGACAAATCCATGCTGAAATTTCGCAAATGGGACCACACCTTAACATAAGAGTACACTGCACTAGGTACTATATCCCACAATGCAATGCACTCATCTTGACCTTCTAGCGTGATCTAATATAATCTATCAATATTAACATCTCCTTTTTAACTCATTATTGGAGTCAAAAGTTGAAACATTTCTACACAAAATAGTGTGTACTGCAGTATGCTAGTATGTTATTCCAAACGTATCCGTTTAAACGATCAAATGGCCGTCCATTTCATAACCACCTGTTTCAGTTCAGCCATATGGACTCACTAGTAGATCCACAGAAAATCAAAACAGGCAATAATAAATAAAAAATAAGTTGTCATTTCTTTTTTTAACGCATGATGGTACCTGTGAAAATCTTTATTTTAGAAAATCGTTTTATTGTGAAAGCTTCGCTACTGACTGAATTTATTACATAAAGCACAAATTGTCAATGTATAGGGCAGATTTTTGGCCGTTCCTGATATAAACGTGTTTGAGGCCTGAAACAGGCTCTATGCAGGATTGTAAATGCTTTAGCTACACAAACTTGATTTCAGCTTGCATAGACTGTGTTTGTGGCCTGAGATGGTTGAGCAAAGCTGAGAGGATTGACTGAAAACTTCTCATCTGACTCTTTGCAGCTCTATTGGAAAGGGTTTAGATGTGTGATCTGGATCGTTAATGGCTTTATTTTGGCAGGGAGGATAATGACACACTAATTTGTTTGTTATTCGCCACTAAACAAGATGGTACTATAGCACTCAGCCAAAATTCTGCTCCTAGAGACGCTTTTATCTTTGGACAAAACCTTTTTTACAGCTATGTGACATTTGCAATTGAGTGAGTGTCTTAAATACGTCAAGAAAAGGCTTGGAGCTTTTTGTTTTGTGTTACTGGCTGAAAAAAAATCTAATTGCTAATGCTAGTCGTAGCAGGTGTGTATAATTTAGAGGAAAGGGACAGTCTCATTCTAGAGGACATTGTGGACAGTAGGACATTTCATACTACCGTTCTCAAGTTTGAGGTTGTTAAGGCTTACCAAAACTCCATAAAAAACTGAAATATTGTGATATATTATTCCGATTTAAAATAATGGTTTTCTATTTGAATATATTTTCAGATGTAATTTATTCCTGTGATGCAAAGCTGAATTTTCAGCATCATTACTTCAGTCTTAAGAGTCACATGATCCTTCAGAAATCATTCTAATATGATGATTTGGTGCTCAAGAAACATTTCTTAATATTATCAATGTTCAAAACAGTTGTGCTGCTTCATATTTTTGTGGAAAGTGTGATACTTTTTTGATGAATTTAAAGTTCACAACAATAGCATTAAATTGAAACGTTATATTTTGTAACATTATAAGTGTCTTTACTGTCACGATTGATCAATTCAATGCATCCTTGCTGAATAAAAGTATTAATTTCCTTCTTTTTTTTTTATCTTAGCCTACTTGAACTTTTGAACGGTAGTGCATGTGTTTACACCGAGCAATAAGGTACTAGAATATCAAGGCTAAAAGGTTTTGTTAGGAGTTACAAAGTTAAACTGTTCTACATAAAAATATATTTTTTAATCAGCCTCTTGCCAGAAAATGAAGTCCCTGACATGTAAATTAATTTATTTTGTCAACATTTAAGAGTACATTAGCCTCGAAGCTAACAGACATGAAATAAAAACCACAAAACTCCCAATTGTACTTTCACAGGGTGTTTAAACAGGTTTTCTGTGAATGTGGCCTACTGAACTCAAGTTTTTAGCGGTTCAGGGAGTTTCACAGCCTTCTCTATGGAAGTGGCCTGATCTCGCTGGCCGTTACTGATCTGAGAGCAGCGGTATCATGGTAGCAGATGGCCTGCGATGTCAGACGTTGAGATCCCTCCGTTTCTGTCGGGGAGTTGGGCAGAGCTGCTTGGCATGAAGTGCTTTGGCACGGGCCGGCCTTCCCTCTCTCTTCCCGTCTGCTTTAATACAACCACCGGGAGCTGCGTTTGATCGTAACTGCATGCGTGATTCTGACGCCATGCTTTCGAATCTACCCTTGACAATTACTCTTTGATTTTAACGGGATAGTTCACTTAAAAATAAAGGTGTAATCATCACTTACTCACCCTCATGTTGTTCCAAATATCGTACACAAAAGAATATGGCTGGGTTGAAAATAATGATTCCTCGATTTTGATCGATACTTATTTTAAACGAGAATCTTCTTAAATGCCAAAAATCGATCTAGACGCTTAAACAAAACTTCACTAAACATTATTTGATTATTTGTAGCGCGCCTCCTATCCAATAAATCGCAATAAGCGTTGTTACTTTTGATATGAAACAAAGTCTTAGCTTTCAAATTCTCACAATTTTATTACGATAAATAAATAAATAGATCGCTGTGGCACCTCAGTTCAAACTGCAGCGCGGAAAGCAAATCATCTTCCACTTTACTAAAAATTAGGATGAAATAAACATGAACGAACATAAGAAGGTATGTTGAAAAGATACAGTAAAACTTGCCAAAATGTATTGTGTCTCATGTAGTCGCAATCGCAAATCGCAAGATGTCAATAAACAGAGTAACAATGTCACGTAACGTACATTTATCTCAGGAAAGCCATTCAATGTCTATAAACTCAACAGTTAGGTAGAAAAAATTACTCCAAGAGGAACATTTTGTTAAATATATGTGCTATATTACATATTTATTGTATTTTTATTTCACCTGTACCTCATTATTTAATGTATGTTTAAATAAATCCATCATGAAAATAAGCTTTTATGACAGCCACCATTTAGGCCTAAATGTTTCAAAAATGTAGCAGAAGCATAATTATGTGATTACCATAAAAAATGCCTGATGTGCAGTTTAAATGTTTGTATACAAATCAGATGTCAGTTTTTACCTTTAAACTGTTTAAACCTTTAATATTATAGTGATGACAGTGACTGACAGGTTTCCCATTTTTTTCTTCGAAAATGAATCAAATCTAGATCAGAACTGAATCGAACTGCAAGTTCATGAATCAAATTGAATTGTGAAATTGATCTCTTTTTCTGAAGAATCTTCACACATTTCCTGCCATAAAAAGACACAAAGGACATATAAGCAATTCCAAAATTCCTCCTTTTGTGTTCCACCGGAAAAATAAAACCATATTACAGATTTGGAACGACATGACGGTGAGTAAATCATTTTAATTTTTAGGATGAACTCAAGCACAGATGCAAGTCTCCGTAGTCGAGTGTAAAACGCTTCTTTTGACGCCTTTCTGTAGCCAAAACGTGCCTTAAAAAGTGTTAAATGTGATGGTGCGGTGTGGAAGACGTCAGGGTGGGTGGGGGTTCGGTAGTCGTGGGGCGTGTAGAGGTCAGAGGTCGTGGCGTACGTGAAGTGTGGTGTTAGACATCAGTAAGTGCAGTATTCAGAGGTGTGCTGTAGCCACAATATGCCAATATATTTGAACATGCTGTATGTATAGAGCAAAAGCGCAGTTTTTAATATCTTTTGGGTGTTTGTGGTGAGTGTGTGCGTGTGCTTTTTAGGAGTTTTACTGCATTGGGAAAAATGCTTGAGCTGAATAAATGTGTGGAGGAGAATGTCAAAACCTTCCCTCCGGACAGCTGCCATAGAGTGGTGGAACTGTGATGTCACTTTGTAGGCAAAAACCAAGAAGCGAGTTAGCATTTTAGCATTTCCGGTTCCATCGTCCTAAAGTCAATGGGTTTTTTGAATGGGATTTTGGTTAAATCCCTAAAATAAGGTCCGTGGTTCACACAGGCTCAAGATACTTTCACGTTTTATTCTACGACATAAAACGCACCAGTTACACCCCACTCGGGATTTTTTTTAACTGTTACGTTTCTTAAAAAAAGACGCTAACAAGTTGCTAAATGGGACTACAGGCGCTGTCGGAGACATTCAACGTCATCACGCCGAACAGTTTATCAATTTACAGTATTTTCCAATCATACTATAATTTGTAATACAATTAATTGTAGAATAACCAGTTAATAGTTTCCCGCATTTTATATTGTTGCTCGACAATGTTTTTTTTGTTTTTTGCTTTCCCCCCCGAAATGCAACACAAGTCTTCGGATAGAAGATGTTCATTTTATCGCTTTCGTCATCACGCCGAACAGTTTATCAATTTACAGTATTTTCCAATCATACTATAATTTGTAATACAATTAATTGTAGAATAACCAGTTAATAGTTTCCCGCATTTTATATTGTTGCTCGACAATGTTTTTTTTGTTTTTTGCTTTCCCCCCCGAAATGCAACACAAGTCTTCGGATAGAAGATGTTCATTTTATCGCTTTCCTGCTGATGCAGAGACTCTGGGTTCGTACCATAAGGTAAACTCATATTACGATTATTCCATGTAAACACCACGTTTACCGGCTTAGTCGCGGTGAAAGTGAAACTTTGACGATGCATAGTGCTTAAAGCCACGTTAAAATCAAATGTTTAAGGCCACATGAGATTTTTTAGAAGCAAGGATAAAATAACATTTTGTGTACCCACCCTAACAAAATGATAGCTTAAATGTGGTACGTTATTCACTAAAATAAGTTTAATCTTACCATATCCAAAAACTCGCTCACTCTGCTGTTATTAAATAGATTAAATGCACTAGAATTTTATTGAATAGTACGTGTAATTAATTTAAATATTCATATTAATCAAGGATTTATTGACTTTTATTGCACCTTATTTCGAAATGTACAGAAATACGTGCTTTCATATGATTATTTCATTTATTCACTATACTATTTATTATAAATGTCTCATTTCGGTTTTCATTTGGCTCTAGTTTTGTATTTATTCCAGTTTATATGAAAAGGTTCATGTAGCGTGGATTAAAATTCATATACAGAGTAAATCCTTTTCACTGAAATAAGTTTGAAAAGTTGTCGGGAGCGTGGTGGTGGTGCTGACGCTGAAGGCGAGCGCCCGTGGTGCTGGAGTTCGTTTATAGCCTAAGTTTAGCTTTTAAGTTCTGGCTTCAAAATTCATCAAAGTTATATTATTTTGTGAAGATTATCTT